TCTCCCACATGACTATCAAAGGTGCCAGCAAACAGAAATTGCTCAAGTCTGTAACTTGGGACGGTTCGAACTCAAAAATCCGGTCAGTTCCGACTCCCAGACCGGCAAATCCATCACAATCATTGGAAACTACCACTAACCCAACTGCAAATCGAAGAACCTAAGTTGAACCGGACGGCTGGGAACGTCAAGTCTGCCCGAATCGAATCGATCCGCCTTGCCCTGGCGCAGCAGCCAGGCCGAGATCATGGAGGCAGGGCCCAGGTCGATGACCGGGCCTTCGCCTTCGGGTTTAGCAAAGTTAGATGTGTCAGGCCGTTGGTTTCAAGGGAAACCAAAATTTGAAACTCAACAGGAAACTGCGCATTGATTCATCTTTGTTCTGTTGTGTTGTTCTTGTTTCTTGTTGCTTGTTTTTCACGCACATCCCCCGCACGGCGATACATTTCAGGAACCTCAGTGACTGGGCATGAATCCCACCCAAATGTTCCCCAAACGGTCCCAAATCATTTTGCCATCAACTTTCCCCCGATGTAGAAACTTCAACTCTTCCCTGCAGGATCCCCTTTGCCCCCAAACAAACCAGGGGTTGACGAATCTTGGGTTCTTGTGCCTGCATCTATACTCAGCAGGGCAAGGGTCTTTCCCTTGTTCAGTGGGGAATTGAATCTTGGGGGGGGGGGGCAACTGCTCTGATTAATCCGAAGCTAAGATTCGAGAAAAAAAAAGGCAACATGAAACCCAAAAAGGGGTCTCCACGAAACTACTATCCTCTACAAAGCGATCTTCGGGTGCATATCAATTCAATCAAAACATATCTGGGGTGTCCTCAGATCCCCTGCTACAAGTCTAACTTTTGGTGGGCTAAAATCCATGTAGTTAAATGAAAATCCAACCACTAAACCCACTAACAACAACTAAGGAACCGGACGGCTGAAAACCGCCAAGATATGACCCACAATTTGGGCCCCAAAGGCCATGAGAGCTCCGGACTTGGTCTGGGGCCATGGACTTCGCGACATTGCCAGCTTCACGCACAAACACGAACACTTAAACAACGGAAGCAAGCAAACACCGGGGTGACCCAGAACAAGAGAGCTCAACCTAAACGGTGGCCTAGTGGCTTGCCTGAAAGGCTGATTAATATGGGGTCAACATTTCGTGCTGCCGCCTCAACAGCCCAAAAGCGCCGCTCCGGCCATTCCATCCGAGGCTCAGGCGAATGGACCGCAGCAGTGCCGCGCATCTGGACGCCTCTACTGCCACGGACAGCAGGTCCTCAGCAAGGGAAATCCGGGTACTCCGCGGCGACTGAGCAGAAGAAACACCAAAATAGCCCCCCCCCCCCCCCAAAGAGTACTTTCAAAACAGCGGCTTGGAGGGTCCTTCTTAATCTGCAAGAGAGTAGATCTTACAAGCGACTATGTCTGATGTGTATCAAGTGACTTAGTGCGCAAGCAATGCAGCAAGCACGAGCGTAGTTGCGTGGCACTGGATGCTTTCGCGGTGCAGCTCGCCTGTTCCCTAAAAACCTTCGGCTCCCAAGGCGAACTCGTTCGGGCCGAGAACGCCATGCGCATGGCTCCAGTCGCCTGGGATCAACCTGGTCTCCGCTGTCATGGGCCCCGTGAGTGAACCCCGCACCCTCGCCAGGTGCACGTGTGAGTTGCAATGACTGGCTGGTGGAGGGTTCCCGTGGCAACCTACGTGAGTGACAACTAGAAGTCTTCAGAGCAGAAATCGTTCAGAGCCTGGAGAGGCACCAGCACAAGGCACAGGCACAACCAAAAGCAACTATGTTCAACTATGTCCGTGTAATTACCGCAAACAGAGTAAGACCACAGGCAACCATAGTCATGTAAGACATCCCTTTGATCTTCCCCAACTCGTCCTTCAGGCGGCTTCTCGTTATGAACTTGGTTGTGGAGTCCTCTGCAAAAAGTGAAGAACTATTTTGTGGCTCCGCTCTGGAAAATCCTTCTTGAATGAACCAAGTTCAAGTCCAAAGATCCGCTACCAAATAGACCTGAAGTCTCCTGGAAACTGGTGCTTCGCCAGGGCGGTGGGAAATGACCACTCTACAATACAACTTAACAAGGGCCCAAAGACTAACCCCCCCCCATAAGAGGGGATTATCTTGTATCACAGAAATAGCCATAAACCAACATGGAGATTTGTAGGGATCACTAAAATATCAAACAAAACACAATTTTCCACTAGAACCTGGTGCTTCTGATCTTCTGGTGCTGCGGCGGGGAGCTTCAACCCTTAGTACGGCGACGTGCAGCATGGACTCCATGACCGTCCGGAGCACGGAGGGCCGGGAGACCTGCTGAAGCTGGCGCTGCCGGCACCCCGCGGGCCGACTGACGAGACGGGGCAGGCCGGCAGCTGTAAGGCAGCTGGACGACTTCCTGGGGCCTCCGAGGCCCAGGACCCTTGACTGATCGAGCCTTTTTTTCAGGAAAAAAAACTGGTTTTGAGATGCGTCCTGCCCGACATGGTTTTGCCGGCCGAGGCGCCCAGCTGGGGTCCGGCACCGGAACCTGCAAGTGGCGCCCCAGCTCCGACAGCTTGACGCCCAGCCCCCGCCACGCAAGGGCGAGGGCCGCCAGCAGCATGGCGCGCTGGGCGGAAGCCCGCGGAAGCCCGCCGAAGCCGTGCGGGCCATGGTTTTGGCCCCACTTCGAGTCTGCTCAAAACATGAGTCGAAGGCACAACTGGGTTTGTTCCAAAAATGGAGCACCTTGCAGGGCACAGTGTGAGTACTTATCTCAGGTCTCGGCAATCTGATGATGACTGTCGAGCCTCTCTCATAGCCCGCTCCGTGCACTTGCAGCACTCGCAGCTCCTATCAATCTCTTCTCCGAAAACCGAAAACGCCAACATCTTCGCCTTGCTCAGGCGTTGGAAGCAGATTTGCCGTGTGTCGGATCTGTGTAACGGGTCCGAGCTGCGAACCATGAAAAAAACGCGGGACTCTCTCTCTCTCTCTCTTTCTCCCGCCCTAAGCACATGATATACGTTGGATCTATGGCCTTCTGTTTAGCTCAGGTGCAAACTGAAACAAGTGCGTACCCTTCCTCACGCTGGTTCCAAAGGCACCCTTGGCCTTCCTCGCAAGGTGGTCAGGAGTTTGTGTCTTGCCAAGCTGAAAACAAGCCACCAGAAAGAAAAACCAGTGCCCCTGCCAAGTGCTTTTTTTTTCAACGCCCTCCTTATCATGCCAGGCTCTTGTCAGGGGTCTTCATCCTGCACGGAAACACAACAGGATCAGGCAGCCAGTCCCGGCCGTTGACTTGCACAGGACTCAAACTTCGACAAGTCTAGCTTCATAACTTCAACTTCCATCGGGTGGTCCACAATTGTTGCATCCTTTTCCCACCCCGCGAAACATGGGCGCTCAAAAGCTGAACTTCTCCGATGCATGGCCCCCTCTCTGAGCTGGCAGGGTTTCATGGGATAAACCTACTTATGGCAACTAAAGGCTACCCCGTTGCCCCCAGGCGCAGTGGAACCCAAATAGCGCCGAACCTTCGCGCCTCCTATCCTCATTGCACATCACACGGCATTCAGACACCTCGGCCATGTACAAATACAGACGAGCCATCCGGAGTTGCATGTTGCGTTGCTGGATGTTGCATTGTTTCACCTTGAGAACCGCTACTTCTGTTCTTTGCACAGGATGCCATCTCTCAAATCCGCCGAACCCTTTGCCAAAGCCATGCTAGTCTCTTCAAAGGGGCGCGGCGTGTTCTACGTGGTGGTTGGGGCAGCCAGCTCTTTGACTAGAAGCCCTGCAGTCTCAAGGCTACTCTAAAGGTGCCAGGTGGCCCGGCCCTCATCTGGAGAGGTGGGGGGGGGAAGGGGTCCAGCGGTGGACACGGCATGCTCCTAACTCCATCTTCAACTCCAACCACCAACTCTCTAACCCCTGATCCGAGAACACTTACCTCTAACCTGAACCCTACTCTTCCCCAAACCAACCCTAACCCCTAACTGTTCTGCGGCACCAATATGCATGATGACTTTATCACTTTGAAGGGATTCTCTTGGTATCACATACATTGGCCCCAAAACACATATGGGCGTCTTTTTTGGGGGGTCCCCCAAACTGGTGGCTGTCCGTTTGGTGTTCCTCAAAAAACCACAAAAAAGGGGTACCCCAAACAAAGACAGACACACCCTTATGCTTCGGATCGAGTCAAGCCACTGAAACCGATCCGAAAAACAGCAAGACTGTTGCAACAGGTCAAGGTCAAGGAAGGAACCCTTCCAACATTTAGTTCTCTGAATCGCGTTGCGATCCGCGCTTCTCGATCAAAAGGCAGATCATTTGCCAAACAAACGCTTGCCTGCAGTGTGTGTGGTTTATGTTCGACATGGCAAGAATATGGCCGTAACTTGCATAATTTACAACAAGGGATCATAGGAGTTGGCAAATGACGTCGACAGATCGAAGGCAAGCCCCTGCAAACTGCATAGAGAAGCTCCTGAGAGGGCAGGGTCTGCTGCTGACGGCTCAACCCCTAAGCATTGTAGAAGGTTCCTCAGGGTTCTGGTGAGAAGTCTTTTGCCAAGGCTTCTGAGCCGATTCCCTTTGCTTTTCCATGATCATCCGAATAACTTCTCCCAAGTCTTGCCAATGCCAAGTCCTTTGCGGCATGCACCATGCAAAACATGGCCACTCGCGCATTGGTTTCAGGCTTGTCTGGGCACTCGAATACATACAACTAGTGATTGACTCTTTCAAGAAACATTTGTAGAGTCAAAGAAGTCCTGCTGTGAATCTTAGGTTGCATGCTACCAGTAGCATGCGTACACACTCCACCAAATGCTGATCTGCTGGTGGACTCTGTCAAAAGCAATGGCGAGCTTTGGATGGAGTGGAATCCCTCCATCATTAGAGTTTGGCAACCAGCTATAGAATATGGTTTGCTTCATTTTGAGGCACTGGAAACATGCAAAATGTATCCTAAGTCTACTCCAGCCTTCAGATCCGATATGTTTGCTCGGGAGGATTTTTCCACCCAAATCAATTCATACTCTGGATGGACAAGATCCTGCACCACCGTTCAGAAACCCTGGTTTCTGATTCGATTCCCCAACGTACATACCAGCAAACAGTGGTTTCATTCCCATGGTTTCATTTCGTGATGCGAACGGATTTCGCAACCATCCATAGAAAAAAAAAAAAAAAAAACATTCTTGATCCCTGTCCCGAACTCCGGTCCAATTTTGTCTGGTGGCATGGGGGCCATGAACCGTCTTTTTGGGGCCGAATCGGGTGGGACTCTCTTTGGCTTACTCTCCAGCTAGCTTGGCATCAAGCCATTTGACCAAAAGGAAAAGACCAAAACTGGAAAACAAAAGGTGCAATACATACGTTGGACAGGCGAAGGCAAACGCATCAAACCTTGTATGTCTCAGACTGTGCTCAGTCTGAGAGATTCTCGGGTGGAAGCCAGATCATTTGCAGTGTGTTCATCAACGAAACGATCCCGATCACTTCTTAACACCTGCGTCTGGCTGCACTGCCCAAGTAGAAGCGCAAGCTACAGAACGCCGCGGCGAGAGCGGACATGGCTGGAGCTGCCGATGAACATAAAAGAGCCAGCCCTCTGGGCAGGTGAGCCAGGCTTTCACTTGAAAGGATCCGAACAGCTTTCAGTGTTTTTACCCGTTTCGAGTCAGCAGCTCTGAATATGCACAAGCCTAACCCTCGACTTCCCTCACACCACCACCTGCACTTCGCTTCGGCCACGTGGGAAGACCTGCAAATGAGAAAAGCCTTGCCAGTGGCCATGAGAGCTGAGAAAAGAAACGTGGACAAATGTGGACACACCTATGTAAGCCATGGTCAAGACTACTGGTTTCCCGCAAGACCTGCGAAAGTCTTTTGTGTGGTTGAAACGTCGAGCTCAAACCCCCCTTCTCGTCCCTCCGCAAACCATACCATCACTGTTGACCTGTCAACAGCCATGTGGCGTGTTGCGTACAACCAGCAACGCGAGTTGTACGTGAGCTTTGGAATGGCCAAGGGAACTCCAATACACGCAGTGCGTTTATCACTGCTTGCCTGGGTCTGTCCTCGGATAATGGTCTTCTTGTCCACGCCGCCATGGGAGTAGCGGATGATGTTGATCACATCATGGTTGATGATCACGTCCATGAAGCCGTACGCATCATCATCCCCAGTCTTGCTGGGTATGATCTCAGAGGTGATACCTCCGCCACCTCCTGAAATGACGTAAGCTGTATCGCCAAAGTCCCCGGTCTTGTAATGGGTCTCCTGCAAATGCGTGTGGCCACTGATGTACAGGTCAATTCCATACTTACCGAAGTAGGACGCCCACAGCTCCGAGCGGCACGGCTCGAAAGTGGGCGGGTAGTGCGTCACCACAATTTGCCATTCAGCGGTCGAAGCTTCCAATTTCTCCGCCAACCACTTCTTCTGAGCGTTCCACATGTCCATGAACCACTGCCAGCAGGTATCCTTGGCTTTCACGTTGCTAGCAGGATTAACCCTGCCCAAAAGGTGGATAGACAAAATTCAGACTTTCAGCCCAGCAAAAGACAAGGGTCCTTCGTCCGAGGTTTGTGGCTCCTCTCTGTGTTGCCAATTCACCCAGCCTGGCCCAATCTTAATGTGAACGTTTATTTGCCATATCGTCGCCCTGGCAATCGACAGCAATCGATTCCTGGCCTTGCTGAATTCTCAACTCTTGGATCAGATCTGTGGCTTGCGGCTGGCTCTTCTAGATTGTACTAGCGCGCTGGTAGCCATTCTGTCAAACACGTGAGTTGTTGTTGAATCCTGACGTGCCAAGATGAAGTCCACCTGATCACTGATCACCAACTGGCAACTGCAAACAGGGCGTGCATGATCAAGAATCAGTTGATCAAGTATCAGTTGGCATGACAGCTTCTGCGAAGAGACTCCTAACCATCATTTTGTCGGCCTCAACTCTTCATGAATGGCAGCAGGACAACTCCCTCCAAGAGTCAAGAGACTCAAAACCCACAGTTCTTACCGGTTCTGTCTGAACATGTCCCACGGGGCTTGGCTTTTCCTTGGCACCAGTTGCCCGGTGGCTCTGATACTCGTTTGAACCCCTGAAATTGACCAGTTTTTAGTGGAACCCACCACAACCCAAAAAATAAGGTACTGAACAAAAACCTGGGATGCGGGCCGAGTGGCCGGGCTAGTGATAGAGGTGCCCTTGCAATCCAGCGGCTGGGGGGGCTGGTTATGGGACCTGAAACACAACACTCAGCGCAGAAAAAGGGCTCACAAGGGCGAACAAGGGAAAGCAAACTAAACACGCACACATACAACTGAAAGGAGAGCAGTTCAATTGTGTGGCTTTCTACCAAAGTTGAAATCCTTGCGAATCCTTGGAAGATCGGACCTCGAGCAGATGTTGTGCTCGGGGTCGGCGTCCGGATTCCCGTCCGTGTCGACCCGGTTGGTGTCCAAGAAGAAAAAGTCCGCAGAGAAGTTGCGGAACTGGACCTCTTGAAGAGTGTCAGACGCGAACATGAAGCTGTTTCTTTTTCTTTTTTTCCGGGCGGGGGGACCCCAAATGGCTTCGGTTTTCCTTTTGGCACCCCTTCAAAACCTACAATACCTACAAACATGGGGTACCAGCTCCAAACAAAAAAAACACGGCCAATTGTGGGTGCTTCCCTTTAAGGCTTGGCGGTGGGCTTAGAAGGATGCCGGGGGGGGGGGGGGCTCTCTCCGGAATGGCGACAGAACTTGAGGATCAAAATTCTCTCCAAGGACTAGTGGCTTGCACTGGCCATTGTGGACTTGGGATTGTTCTCATGAGGATCACGACCTCTGAACTGATGGGCTGATGACCATCCCAAGCAACCCTTTCACCAAGGACGTGCTGCCAATGGCATGTGGTTAAGAATTGTCACCAGTCCGCCTGGGATTCTTGGGCCTTTTTGTCTTGTTTTGAGTGTAGCCCTTTTGGGGTTAGAAGGTAAAGCAATGGAATTTCGACCAACTTCAAGGCTTCTTTCTGCCTCAAAATAGGGGAACCCTTTTTGGATGGTAAAGGGAAACCAAGAGGCAACCAGCCACCCCTCTAGGGTCCCCAAGTTTGAGACAAACCCACACTTGATGGCTCGGCTGACCGACCTTCCGGGTCCAGTAGAGGGCAGGAGTCAACCACCGGCTCTTGTCCGAGTGCCAGGTGTAGAAGATGTTCTGATCCCAGTGGACGTTGTAGTGGTAGCCTCCATAGTCGTGATTCCCCAAAATCCCCCACCATTCCACCCCGTCCAAGCCCGCACCCTTGTACATATTCTCAAAGATGTTGGTGAAAATGATGCTTCCGGCCTGCACTCAAGCAAGCACCAAGTGCCGACTCCTCTCTATGTTGCTTTGCCTTTTGACTGAAGAGTATGCAGTTTCGTCGCTAGGCCCTCCAGTGGAGAGGATAGAATAAGGGTACCAACTTTTTTTCTGTTGTCTATTTTAGTAGGGGAACCCTCCCCACCAAAAAAGAAACGGTAAAAGGGGTATTTTTGGGGGGACCTCGTCGATTTTCAGTTTGCCTTTTGACCTGCCCATCCAAACCTCTTAGCCGAGCCACGGCATCCGTGGCGTGGGTCTCCGCATTGCAGGTGCCGGGGCTGCTGATGCCCCCGGGGTAGAAGTTGTCGCCCACGTTGACCACGAACTTGGGCAAACTCTCCTTGGCAACCGCCGCCATCCTGTCAGCCACCTGCGCAGCAAGTGCAACTCAGGGTGGCTATGCCTTCATGTTGATCCAAAAGGATCAATCAACTCGTCCGATTCATAGGAGGGTGAAGTGATGAACCCCCATCTGAAAGGAAACACACCCCTATTGATCAACGAGGAGTTTCTTCGTTCTGGGGTTGCCAATGCTCGTCCACCTATAGATTGATGCCAATGAGAAGCGCTTTCCCATGCATGAGATTGACCCAAACATGGCGACAAAAGCCCAACCCCCCCGCAACACAGCAACAAGATCAACTTGGAAAACCACTTTTCTCCAGTTTCTGAGGCTCCCACATAGCTCTGGGCGTGGATGTCGATGGGCTCCATGATGGTCTTCCGATTCTTGAAAGTCATCGAGCTGGAGCCGCTCAAGATCCCCCCCCAGTCCCCGATGATGAAGAAGTGCTGCTCCTCAGCGGACATACGTGGTCATTTAAAGAAAACGAAAACCTTGTGTGGTTCTTGTGGGAAAACCAAGGACAACCAGGAAGTCAAAGGAAGACCAATGTTCTACGTGATTTTTTTCTCAAGGGACTCGTGGACATGGCTCACGCCTTCTTTTCTTCTGCATGGACATAGGTGACCATCGAAGTTGTGGTTGGGTCATACGCTTCAAAGCAGCCCGGTCCTCTGTGCCATTCCAGCACGCAGCGGGCCACTCCTGAGGGGCGGGCTTCGCATGTTCTTGGGCCAAGGGGATGATAGGTAACTAGAAAGGCCAGAACACCGGCATCCAATGACATGATGTCCTCAAATGGTCTAGCCCAAATTCTGGATATATGTATATGTCAAAATAACACCTTATTGGGAGCTCCATGTGAGGAAATCATCCCATCAGACGCTGGTGCATTTCACTCATACCTCTCTCCTTGCCATTCAAATCCAAGGCATTCGCCGGCATGGCGGGCCGTTGTGGTGCGACGGGACATTGGATTGCGCACTCACCGTGCGGGATGCTGGCGTTGGTGTCATTGTTGGCAAGAAAGCTGTAAGGGTCGCTGCACGCCGTGCAGAGCACGGCCCGCGTGCACTTGCCGTTCTTGCCCATGCACCGGCACTTGGAGCACTGGCCCCGCTTCAAAGTCTCGGAACACGCAGTGTCCATGGGCGCCTCTTTCTTCTCCGGCTCAGGTCCACATCCGCTGAGGCCAAAAATGGCCACAGCCACGCCCAGACATTGCCAGGGCCGCAGCGGCATGACAGCAGCACGCTTTCGCGCCCTGAGACGCGTCTGAGCAGCTTCAAGAGGGGCACGTGCGGCATGAGTGGTTGTGTATGACTCACCCTGTTTCACGGATTGCAATGGGAGGGAGCCTCTGCCCGCTGGAATGCAGGATCTATCTCAGAAGCTCGGGACTACAGAGGAACTGGTGCAAAAAGACTTGCCTCACAAGGGTCTTCCTTCGAGTGTTGTATGGTTTTTGATCCCCTAGCTCCATCCATCCACTCCACCCGCCCGCTTTTGCCGGAAAACCGTCGGCACCGTTCGCATATTCTCTCTGTTCAGCACAGCCGTTGCATCACAGGAAAGAGACGCCCCTTAGTTCGAGCGTGAGGAGTAACCATTGTCACAAATCCATGTCAGGAGTTTGGATGACTAAACAGGGCATGATGAAATGATCTTCAAAGACTGATCATGTTGCCAGGCGCTTTCAGATTCCGTGTCAGTTTGGCTCCACGTACAACTTTCAAAGTCCAACTTTGCCCAGAAACCTTGCTGATGCCCAAGTCAGGCAGCGGATGTATGTGGATATGTATATCTGTCGTTGCTCATATCTCACACAAATGCCACTTAAAGTAAACCACACAACTCCCTTTGCCTGGGAAAAGGGGATGACGAGTGATCCAAATAAGGTACAGTAGATTGACCGGATCCGCGACTCTGGGCCGGCGGCAGAATCCACAAAGGGACTCCTGGCCAACGTCGGGTTCAAAAGCGAGTTGCCGTGCCACGTCGAAAAGCAAGGATTGGTCATGAGCCAAGATAAACCTGGTACCTGCTTCATAAGAAAAACAATGCCACGGCGTGATGATTGCTAGGGAAGCATGAGCACCTGTCGATTGAGAGTTGTAAAGCGCTGTTGCAGCAGTCATGTGGATTGTTTAAGCTTTCGAGAAGTCGGCGACCCAATTGGCTCTAGCTTTATCTGACTCGAGCTGAGAGGCGAGTACGCATTTTTGATGGTTGATGGGTCCAAGAAGGATTGGTCCAACATCGGTTTCAATGACAGTCCAGGGATCTCACGGCCCTCACAGAAAAAAGTAACCAGCACCACGAGCATCACCAACATCACCCATTGACAGGGCAAGTCACTTGTCAAGCGGCCAAGCACAAGAAACTCACCAAGGACAATGGGCAGCGCAGTGCAAAGCGCGAAACACATCACACCAGGAGCAAAGGCGGCCGCATCCGCTTCAACATAGTGGCTGCGTCTTTTACTCAAAGGTCCCCTTTTTGGGGTTGGTTTAAAAGGAAAGCTGAAAAAGAAATTAAACGCCATTGTTTCGGGGAGGGGGGGGGGTCCCTAAGAAAGTATCTTCCGTGGACTTCTACTTGCTGCTAGCTGCTTGCTGCTTCTCGCGGCAGACAACACATGGCGGGCGCACAGCGCATCCTCGTCAATGAGCAGCGTCCCCGACACGGTTTTCCTGTCCCTCGCGCAGGAAAGCGATTTGGGCGGCCTGCATAAGTGTGTTATGACAACTTGGGACAACAGAGTGGTTTGCACATGAAATTCAACACTAAGAGCATTGCTTGCGTGGACTTCGCACTTTACATGCAAAGTGCTTGGTTTTGCACACTGGCTTAGCCACGAAAAACACAGAAACGCTGCTTTGTTTCCTGTCTGTCAAGTTACATTTAGCAACAAAACGCAGCATCAGAATATGCAAGAGCTGCACAAACAGCATGCAAGAAAACCAAGGGACATATACATGTGTTCGACACAAATTCACATGCACAACTAGACGCTCTTTTTCTGACACGGGTGTTGTCTCCCACCACTTGTTTGTTTGTGTTTGCAAGCAAACAGCAAAAACCAACAATTGATTTTGTGTGCGGGCGTCATCCAACTTCTAAGCAGTAAACCAAACACGAGTTGCTTTGCGCGTCTTTGCGGTTGGCTCTCAAACCGAATACGATGCGGCATTGTAGTTCTATGATAGAATTGCATACTGCAAAAGAAAACCTCACTCCAATTGAGTTGGACACATGGGTGTGTCTTCTTTCAGGCTATCTCTTTGGGGGTTGGTTCAAAGGGACACCAAAAGGGAAAACCATCCATTTAAGGAGACCCTCTATTTAGAGACAAACCCATATATGTACCGACCATGACAAATCAAACGGAAACAAAACCAGTATCGACAAAACCCAGTTCTAACCCTGTTTGGCCCTCTTTGCTTTTCTTGAAGTTGTTAGTAGGCCAAGGACTGTGCGTGTGAGTGTGTGTATCACAATTGTCTTTGTAACCCTTTCATGTTGGTCGCCCGTTCCTCCTCTCCTGCTAGCTATTGCCAACATTGCCTGCTGCTTCGACTGCGATTGCATCTCCCTCCTTGCCCCCGAAACGTAACCCAACTTGGATTGCGAAAAGACAAGGATGTCAATTTACAATTTCTACATCCATTTGCATAAGTCCGCTGGAAAAATAAAAAACGGAAATATGTCCAGTAGTGATAGATTCCCTTTACAACCAACAGGGGAAATCAAAATACTCTTAAGCAAATGGAAGTCTACAGAGCAGATTCGATGGCTCGCTGGGCCCTGGATCAAGCTTGCAGGTGGGATCTTTTGACACGGAGCGATTGACACTGACATCGTCTCAAAGTCTTTTGGGAACAGCTCCCAAAGGTCGTAGGGCCAGCTAGGCCGCCCACTTGAAGACATCATACTCGTGCCTCAGCTGCAAGAAATTCTGCAAATACTTTGTTGATCCCTTGCTACAAGTCCAAGGTTTAGTAGGATGGGCCATGAATGCCTCGAAACTCTACACAAAGGGTATGGCTGAACATCTGCCAAGAACCAACCGGACTTCTCCATGCAGGGCTTCCATTTCTTAAACGGGTGTGGATGTTGTGACCCCTGGGTCGGCCTCCCGGACAGCAAGCTTCGCCACATGAAAACGACCTAAAATTGGAGGGGCGCCATAGCTTTCAGCTGCTGGAGAGAAATGGGGAACCTTTTTTGGGGAGTGTTCAAAGGGTAAAATCGGAGGACCGCTTTGGAGTCGTTGCCAAGGGGGAGAAAAGAGAAAAATTGGGGACCCCTGGCATCAACAAGGCACTCGCCTGTCAGTCCGCCCGTGAAGCCTGTGCTCAAGGAAATCTCCTCCTGTTGAGGGACTCCCAGCAACAATCAAGCAACTGGTAAAATAAAACATCAGCACAGCCGCGGAGGGTTGTTGGATAGCGTTCAAAGAGCAAACATGGGCATCCCTTTGGATAGCTTTCAGAGGGAAGCCAAATGGAAACCAACCAAGTTCCAGAGCCCTACATTTTTGGAACCACCCGCGCCCTCTTTGAAGCGGTGCGTTGATTCCAGGCGATGCAAGATCGAGCGGGGTGAACCAAACGAGTCGCCTTCTTCCCTCAAAAGTCAGAGGAAGTGCCACAGTGATTTCTGAGCAAGCCAGAGGAGGAACAGAAGCAAGCGCAAGCTCCAGTGAAAGCAAGAATCCAGCTCTACTGCAGGTTTCAGTCCTTGTTTACATTTGCCAGGGTTGCATTTTGTGTACCTAGTTTTGACCCACACTCACCTGGAATTCTCTCAAAATCACAGCACCCCGAAAAGCCTTGGCCCCCTACGATAAGCCGAACAGCCAACTCCACCGGATGAACACTCCCCTTTTTTAGGGTGCAGTTTGATACACGGGCGAGTGTTGTTGGAGGGTACCCTGTTGGAATGGTCTTGCAGGGGGACCACAAGGAAAACGGAAGCTATTTTTCCTAGGCTGTCCTCAGATTCCCTGCTTAAAGTTCAACTTTTTAGTGGGCTAAAATCGAAATCCCCACAAAACTCACCAAAAAGATCCGAACAACCAAGGAACCGGATGGCCAAGAACTTAAGTTTTGAGGGTTTTTTTTCCCTTCTACCCATGCTCCAAGGCCTTTAAAAGGCACCACCACCTTGCCCAAAGCCCCCCCGCGGTGTCGCTGGCGGCTGCAAGACGCTGTCCACCTCCATGCGGGACCTGAGGCACAGAAGGGCCGAAAGGCGCGGCCCTAAGAAAGGCCGCGGCGAGCGCCTTGAAATGGGAGGATCTTTTGTGGGGAACCGCAACGCTTGCGGTTGGTTGGTTGGTTGGTTGGTTGGCTGGCTGGCTGCCTTTCAGTACTTGCTTGCTTGGTCTGTGGTTGGTGCCAACATAGGGGGAACTATGCCCTTGAATGGTTGGTTTCTCTTTGCTTTCCCTTTACCCAAAAAGGTGGGTTGGCACTAACATGGGACCCAAAATCATCTAAACAATCAAGAGAGCAATCGCACCCAATTCATGATTGAGGCTGCCCCTTAGTAACCTTCATCCACCTGGGTTTTGATTGCGACTCAAATGCTGGACTTTTTTCTCGTTCTGGTTCTCAGTTCTTGGGTCACCACCATCGTTTGTCTCGTTGGCTCTCTTCCACTTGGGTACCAGCCCTCTGTCATGTTGGTTTTGCGAATCTCCGGTTGGTGTCCTGGCCATTGTTTTTGTTACCCTCTTTGTACAGAGCGAACAGGATGTTCAGCAACATATCAACGGGCCCTTTTGTTTTGATACGGCGCCATGGCAGCTGACTTTGATTCTTTGAACTCATGTTGGTCAACGCCGTTGGTCGCATTCGACAGAGCAAGGCAATGATGTCTTCCATTTGCTTAAGCCCCCTTCAAACATATTCTAGTGGTAGATTCCGTTTAAAACCAACAGTGGAAAATAACAAGCACTTCTTAAGCAAATTGAAGATGTGAAAAGCGGTGATTGAGTCGTCCTTGTCTGATTACTGCGGTCCATGCCCTCAAATTGCCAGTGATTGATGCCAGTCAGCCACCCAGCTGTGGAGCCTCTTCAAGACTCATGAACATTGAACTGGATTGACTTGGTGGATTGACTTGGTTGGCCATGCTTTCTGAACTTGCTGAGAAATCAGATGCTTTTTCGTTCTCCTGCTCAAACTTACCATGCACCAACAGGCTCTGTTAGATTGCTTTCTATGCACTATGAATCGGATGCACGTCTGGCAAGTGCAAGCTGCACTTGAACACACCG